TTGTACCCCTGTCCAGCCTGATGCCTCCTTTCTTCTGACTCTGGCGTGTTCATTTACTTACTGCTCCAGTTGGCATCTTTCAGTACCTCACTTTAACCCTGCTATTATCCTTAATGGAGACTTGACATCAAGCAATAGACAATTTTTTGGGAGAACAGGGACGTTCATACCAAGTTATGTGTGCAATTGGACTTCTAAGAGGAACTAGTGCATAGCATCAGAGGTTGAAATCCTGGCCGATTTCTCTGAGCAGAATTGCAGCACCCCTTCTCAGTATATTTGGTGAGATCAGTGAGTTCCCCATTGATGATCAAATCTAAAGTAGTCAGCCATTTGTTCAACAAACAGAATCATCAGATCAGGGTAACTTCTGTGCATACTTTTATTTTGTTATTTGTGGCTACATTAACAGTTGAATGCACTAACCCAGAGGGAGGATGGGTGGCAGTCTTGAGTAGAAAATGCAAACTACTCAATAGTTTAAAGTTTGCTTGTGCATGTTTTAAATTACATTTATTATTGGTTTCCAATGTTTCCCCAAAATACCTGAAAGCAGAAGTATGCAATTAATATTTTGGATTATGTGTCTTATGTGTTTATATTCCAAATTAAATATATTATCACAATTCCTTGCTGTTGGTATCTTGGATTCTCATAAATTTAATTTGTATCAAGAGATACCAGGAAGGGTAATGCCTAATTTTTGTAATGCATTGGGAAGTTAACTTGTAACTTGTGTGCTGATGCCAGCAGCAAATTTTCTGAAAATAAAAATGAGCCAGATGTAGATTATTTTTTCTGATACTAAACCTCAAATAATTTTCAATGTTGCAAAAGGAAAAGAAAACACATAGGCAACGCAAGTCAAAGTATTAAGTCTGATCTGAGTTTTCTTTTTAAGATAGCAAACCAAAAGCAATGCAGAATTAGAACTAGTTAGAAATGCTGGAAGGCTGCATAGTATATAACACATGTTGTAGTTAAGTTTACTTATGCACTGCACCCAAAAAGACCCAAAGCAAATGCAAGGATATATGCAATTTGAAAAAGATTGATGTATTTCAACTGTTTATACTGTGGAAATGCAAATACCAAAGCTGGATAAGACATCAATCATGAGCAGAAAGACTTAGTTTATAAAGAGGCCCTGAGGCACAATGTAAACCTAAATAATACAACGGTGATTTACTGAAGGTTTTGTAGATACATATATCACATTTTATTCATGAAATATTTGTAGTCTGTCCACACGAATAAGCAGATGGTCTCTAGTTAAGTACTATTTACAAGCAGCTCTTCTTGTCCAAACTATAAGTAGTGGAACTTCCAACATTTTTCGATTTAAAAAAAAAACTGGAGATGGCAAAAGACACACCAAGATTACTTGCTTGGAAATGTTCATATATTTCACAAACATGCTTATTCTACATGGTAGTGTAGAATTGACAATGAGAAAAAGATTCATCTGTCATCACCAACCAAATCAAAGATATACATATATTGTGTTATCACCTCAATTCAAATATTTCCAAGCCATGCATTCAGATACTGTGAATTATTTTGAAGTGTTCTAATTGATATGCAGGAATATCATTGAATTTTCCCTATATGTGACAGATTTTCTAATCATTGGACTCCTCAATCTTCCACTCTAAATTTATTACTGGCATAGAATGTGTCCTAGCAAATACAGATGTCATTTAACTCTCTAATTTTTGAAGTATTGAACAGTCAGAGTCATAGAGGTCCAAAACACACAAAAAGGCCCTTTGATCCATTGAGTTTACACTGGTCAGAAACAACCACCTGACTATTCTAAGATAACACAATGTGGAGCTGGAGGAACACAGCAGGCCAAGCAGCACCAGATGAGCAGGAAAGTTGACGTTTTGGGTCGGAACCTTTCTTCAGATTCTATTCTAATCCCATTTCTAGCACATGACCCATAGTCTTGTATGCCTTGGCATCACGAGTGTACATCTAAATACTTCTTAAATATTCTGAGGGTTTCTGCCTCCACTACCCTTACAGGTAGTGAGTCCCAGATTCCCACCACCCTCTAGGTGAAAAATCTTTTCCTCACATCTCCTATAAACCTTAATCCTCTACCCTTTACGTTAAATCCATGCCCCGGTCACTGTGTCAGACAGCCATGAGATAATCTTAGTTGAAAATACAAAATACAGTCAGAAACCTACATTTTCCCACATTGTTTATATCTTGCCTTCTGGAAGTATTCCCTCAATCCTGGTTTTTTTGGCCATTTATACCATGTCTTTGAGAATTATTTTTATTAGATTTTTAATTCCTATTCTAGAAATTATCGCTATGACTCTTAACCTTTAAGATCACTATGTACCATGCTCCAACAGAAAAACTGAATGCTAGCCAAACCACTGGGTCAACTCTACTGTCGTAGAATGTGTTAGTATAAAAAATTAAGACTGAATTGCTCATTGTCATGGTCAGCTCATGCTGCAGCCTGAAGATAGACAACACACCTTACAGGTGGTCTTGTTTCTCAACTGCTGTTAATTGCCATAAGAGTACAGTAATACAGTAGCAATGATAGAGTTCTGGAGAGACTGCATTTTATTACAGTCATACACTAAAAATACCTGATGACTAAATATTGCCACTCATTTGGGCCTGTGTGAAATAATTAACTGCCAGACAGCATAAAGCCCATTAATTGTGCAACAGTGACACACACAGACGCCATCACGTACAAGTGATGCCTTAGGAAAGCAGGCCTCATGCTAAAATGCTGTTCAATTAAGAAAGGTGAGCACAAGTTGCTTGCACTAATTTAGTTTGGGGCTTTATTTGACTTTAGGAATGAATAGATATTCGAAAATGTTTACGTTATTAAACGAGACCGAGTACATGGTAACAATGCAGGGCCAATAAATAATAAAGAAAATGGTTAACATCAAGAGTTATATTTTCTGCGTTCAGCCAGTGAGGGGTTAATGACCTTTGCTGTGTCTTCAGTCTTTTACTGCCATAGGGTGGAGATGTTGCACACGAGACCACTCGGTTCTGTTTGGAGACGGGCTGTTTAATTGTGTTTGCAGCTCTATCAGTTAAATCTTCAACTCAAAAACATTATTGCTGTTTTCTTTTTTGGTGCGGGTAGTGAAGTTGTTTCTGGAAAGTAAACCCTGTCCGTTTTTAATAATTGGATTTTACCCGTGGGGGAGAAGATTGACAAACTTTTTACTAAACGTTGCCCAGTTGGTGGGGTGTGGGGAAACCAACGTGGCATATAAACAACCTCATGGGAAAGAGTATTGCTCAGGAAAACGTGGCAGAAACGGGGTAAAGCGAAGGCAGCTTTAAGTCTTTTAAATGAACAAATGACACGCCCTCAATGAAGTTAGACAACAACGGGAGTCCGTACATTTAACTAATTAAACTCCCTCGGACTGAACCGCGCGGCGCGTTGTTAAAAGTTTTAATAGTTGGAAAAAGTCTGGTAACTAGACAGCAGGGGGTTATTCTTTCAAGTTTAACATCTGCTTCTAGATGTTCATTTCAAAAGTTTCCAAAATAGGAGACTTCAATTATACGTCATTCAATGCAAAAAAAAGTAATGGACGAAGAAGCACGTTCGAGCGATGTAGAAGTTGGAGAAGGTGGGGCACTGCCTTATTCCGCCAAATTGTAACCAGTTTGTCAGGAGCGGCTGTAGCCATGGTCAGATCAGCTGGGAAGGTGCGGGCCAGAAAATGGGCTGAAATTCCCTTGTGGGAGCACTAAAACTTCACTTTTAATTCAGCCAGTTCCTGGCCACGGTTTAAGATCCACGTGAAATTAGCATCTGAAATAATTGAAAAGTCATCGAGATGTTGCAGAGAGTAAAGAATTCAAAAGACTTCTCGGCATTTTTTTTTCCAATGTTCACTTCCTGTCCGTGTTGTATCCACCCATCATGAGAGCCACAGAGGGGGCTGGGCGCTTGCAAGAAACACGCAGTTGTAATTAGTTGCGCTGCAGATTGGTTGCGTGTCGTTTTCTCCGGGTTGTTGATGTTTTTGTTGGGAATAAATGTGCATTTCTGGAACTGTCTACTTTTCATCCATTCCAGTAATTGTCCGGATTTACTGAAGAGTTTTTTTTTTAAAAAGTAGTATTTCACATTAACATTCCTCCCCGTTAAAGACTTACGGAAAATTGCCTACAGTTGCAATGACAGCGTACTCGCGCACACTAAATGAGCTGGGAAATCTATAACTATCTTAGTTTCGGCATATAGGCAGCTGACTACGTGCAACTGTATGGTAGTTTTAGGCGATGTTCCCTTTCGTGTCTTTGGTATTACCATTCCAAAAAAACTTAAACCTTTGTCTTCTAAGTTTAAAGGGCACATATAAACGCCTGCTCTATGCATTAAGTCGGGGTCTTTTTTGCTCTATACATTAAATAGGTCGCGACTTTGTATCATCGACTGGTAAAAGCTGTACGCCTTGTGAGCAAAAAGAAATGCTAATCAGTTCTTTAGACAAGTAGAGCGAAGTGAAATGCCACACAACAGTGCACACTCTATTCTCCCAGCGAATGGAGTGGGATCTTTTAAAACGACACCCTATATTCCAACAAGAAGCCCCTTTGAGCTCAGGATAAGGGGGGGAAAGGGGCTCAGAGTATGAAATCCCGCCACTTTACCCAATGCAGACTCTCCGCACGGATAGTAGCAGTGACGCATTCCCTCTTGTGTATCGGTATTTCAGTGAAGGCCAACACACTGCAAACCCTTGCCAAAAGTTGCAAAAGCCCTTTGCGGGCGTGCTTTTTTTAAAAAAAAAACTTTGGATGGGCATCTGGTATAATCAGGGATTTTTTTTGGACAAAGTAATATTGACTTTCCCAGCTCGTAAGACAAGAGCTTTTTTTTTGCACTTTAGCTTATGCTAACGAGTTAAGGAGCGCCTGTCAATCAAGCGGTTGTTGTCCTGGCGACTCCGGGCCAGGGTTCGAAAGCAGCTTCGTTAAATCCCGCCCACTGCTGAGCGCTCAATATTTATAACAAGGCAGACACCGCCAGCAGTTCTAGCAGTTCAACTTCGCCACCACCAAAAACAAGACTTTTTTTTATTTTTTTTTTCCCTTTTCTCTTTATACATTCGGACCTCACGTTTCTTTGCTGGGGAAAAGCAATTGTGACTCCAGCCCTTTCACGAGAGCAGGATCTCAAGTTGTAGAAATTACTGCCTGAAGATGTCTGCGACTCTTCTATCTGCTTTCTACGATATCAACGATTTCTTTTGCAAGGTAAAATGTGAGAGGAAACGGATTTCTGAAAGTTGAGAGAGGGAAAAGTTTTCCAAAAGTTCTGGGAGGGGGTGCAAACTTCTAACTCTATAAGCGTGCTTCACTGAATTGCATTCTGAAACAGCATAGTTGAGTAGTTAGTCCTTTTAAATGCTCGTGTTCTAATTGTTCTGTTTGCACTTTCTTTTTTTAATATAAACAGAACGAAAAGTCCCTGAACAACTACAATAACTTTAACAGTATGCTGGACAAGAAGGCAGTGGGGACCCCTGTAACAGATTTTGGGCCGGGATTTCTGAGACGGCACTCGACCAGCAACTTGCAGGCGTTGGCCAACAACTCGTCCGCCAAGTATCCCAGTTCTTTCCCCAACATCAAGGAGTCGAGCAGCACGGCCATGCTGAACAAAGAGAACAAGTTCCGCGACCGCTCGTTCAGCGAGAGCGCCGAGCGCCAGCACCAGCAACAACAGCCGCCGCTCAGCCCGTTGCATTTGGTCCAGCAACAACAGCAGCAGCAGAAGGCAGCGGCCGGCGGCCAAGTCAACTCCACCCGCTACAAGACCGAGTTGTGCCGGCCTTTCGAGGAGAGCGGCACCTGCAAGTACGGCGACAAGTGCCAGTTCGCCCACGGCATGCACGAGTTGCGGAGCCTGACCCGCCACCCCAAGTACAAGACGGAATTGTGCCGCACATTCCACACCATCGGCTTCTGCCCTTACGGACCCCGCTGCCACTTCATCCACAACGCCGAGGAGAGGAGGCAGGCGCCCTGCAATAATAACGCCATCAACTCCTTCCATCACCACCATCAGCAACAGCCCCGGCCCAAGCTTCACCACAGCCTCAGCTTCTCCGGCTTCCCCAGCGGCTCCAGCGGACTCGAGTCCCCACTGCTGGAGAGCCCGACCTCCCGCACGCCGCCGCCGCCGCCGCCTTGTTCGTCGTCGTCGTCCTCGTCCTCCTCCTCCTCCTCTTCGTCGTCCTCGTCGTCCTGCTCGTCCTCGTCCGGCTCCAACATGTTCTGCGAGGAGCTGCTGTCGCCCACACTGCCAGTCTGCGCCAACAACGCCTTCACCTTCTCCAGCCAGGAGCTGAGTAACCTGCTCACCCCGCTGGCCATCCAGACCCAGCAGCTCGCCGGAGGAGGAGGCTACAGCCAGCAGCAGCCCGCTAACGTCTGCCCCCCGTCTCCTCCTTACATCCTGAACCACATGCAGTCGTGCCTGCGGCGGCTAGCCGAATCCCCGGTCTTCGATGCCCCGCCGAGCCCCCCGGATTCACTCTCCGACCGGGAGAGCTACTTGAGCGGCTCGCTGAGTTCGGGCAGCCTGAGTGGCTCCGAGTCCCCGAGCATGGACCCGGGCAGGCGCCTCCCTATCTTCAGCAGGCTTTCCATTTCCGAAGATTGAAGAGAGAGAGAGAGAGACACATACATACACACACACACAAACTCCACTCTTTATTTAACAGAACTTTATTTACGAATTGCAAACAACAGCAACAACAAAAGAAATCCTGCCAAGAAAATGCCTTCGTTAAGGAAACAAATATTACAGGACTTGCTCTTTTCTTTGCCTTTTTAAAAAAACTTCATTCCAAACTTTGTTGCAAGTTGATCTATTTTCCATTGCCACCTAGTGGCCCGTTTGCCTTTATAGAGACGAGAACTGTGTTGCAGATTTTTTTTGTCGAGCACTCGTTCGTTGAGTTAGTTGTAATTGTTGAAATAACTGCTGATTGTTAAATTTTTTTTAGCTGTTGAGTTGTTGTGATAGCACATCGCAGCACAACTCGCTATAAAACTATTTAACTTATTTATTATCTCAAGAAAGTATACATTGGTAATTTGTTCATACTGTATTTATCGCGTATGATGAAAACAATAGATATATATTCTTTTATTATGTTTAAATTATGATTGCCATTATTAATCTGCAGAATGTGGAGTGTGTTCTTTTCACAGTAATATATGCCGTTTTTGTTTTGTAACTCACTTGGTTATTTTGTAAATGATAAAATCTTAATTTAAGAGATTGTATGTAATATTTATTTCATTAATTTTTTTCCTTGTTTACGAAATGGACGATTGCATGGTTTCTGTTCTAGAAATCACTTCTTGATGCTGTGGAAGTAGTTAGGATTGAAGATGGTAGGCATTTTTTAAGAATGTAAAGTAATGGGATGTTAGACCGTCCAAAGTCAGTGGTTAAAACTTCAAGTATCAGACTTTCATGTGGCATTCTTAAGTCAAAGTGGCATCATAAGTTTTTTTTTTGTTGTATAAATGACACTGTGATATTTTTAAAGATAAAACAATAAAGAGCCAAAATATGTAGCACCCTGGACCCAGTATTATATTGACAGTGCCTTCAGGGTCCAGTTGCAGAGAGAGAGTTCTTTTTTTTTCTTAACCAAAATAACAAGCTCAAGTTTCAGAACAAACAAGCATTCCCTTTTAAAAGTATTTTTTTTATAATTGGGGGATGTCAGTTCTCTGAATGTAATAGTTTTGGAGGTGAACTTAATATGTGTAAAGCAGCCTATCTTCCCAGAGAAAGGAGGATGGGAATGATGGACATTGCCACCACTTTGATTAGTGAGGGGCCACCTCTAGGTCTGAACAGTTTTTTTTTTGCAGTAAATCTGAAATGTCTGGAGAATGGAACTCTGGTTTTGGGTTTTTGTTTATTCTGGGATTTACTATTAAACAAAAAAAGAAGGAAAAAAATTTCATTTTCCAAGACAGTGGGTAAATGATGGTAGGTTTAGTTTGTACATAGTAGGTACAGATAATGAGCACTATGTACTCTCTTTTGACTACTTTAACAGAAGTATCCTTTGAATGTAACAAAAGGAAAAAAAAACTTGTTTAAAATACTTGGGGTGTCAGTTCACTACAGATTAAGTGTGAGACTGTAAAATTTGTACTGTAAATTTTTTGTAGTTCTCCCAATAAAATCATTTTTGAAGAAAGATGAGTTATGTAGTGTCATTTTGGATGTGTGATGCAAATTGTTTTCTGCAGCAAACATTTCTTTTGACAAGTTTGGGGTTTCTCTTTCTATTTTAAACACGTGGTGAGATGCCTTGCATTTTAGGGAGCAACCTGAAGTTGGGAGTGTGGAGAAATCAGCCTCTCTGTCTTGAATTGTGGGAGGCAGAGTCTGTGTACATTTTACATAACGCTGCTAGATGCTGGCAGTGGAGTTTCTCCCTTTTTTACTAAAAAGGGGAATAAGTTCATGCACACCTCCATACTGTTTCATTTCCCTTCTATGGTTTATAAGTAATTACAAATAAAGTCAGTTTGGTTGTGCGTACTACAAAACTGCCAAGAAAATCAAATGCCATTTAAAAGACCGCCTTGATATTTATGTTTAATGAATTCTGAAATGAGTATTGCAACTAAACCATTTGTGTTTATGTGGAGGGATAATTAAAAGTATCATGTCCTATGAAACTGCCCTGTGGGTTAAAAAAAGGGCAACTTACAATAGCACTAGGCCACAGAGTTGTGAGTAAACACAAGCTGTGTTTAACTCTAGCCCCAAAAAAAACTTACAATCTGTGCCCAAGGCCATCAGCTCTCCCTTTTTCTTGGGAGTGAGGTTAGTTGGAGTTCCTTATGTAGCATCAATCAAACTGATTAGAAAATACTTAAGTTTAAATTATTTGGAATAACTTTAACCTTTTACAACAAGTACTTGCAACTAAAGTACCTTCGAGTCAAAAATTAAAAAGTCTATGATAAAACTTACCTTCCTTTGGGTTTTTGTGTTTCCCTTCTGCTTGCTTCCTTGGAAATTTTTAAAAGTGCATCAGTTTGTGTGCATGTTTTCACTGTGTGAAAGACTAAGTTGGTAGTTCTTCTCCGATTGTCTGTAGACTGTAAAAGCTTGAGATTTCAAGTCAACCTGTAATGTGGCAGTTCTTTTAACTGCAAAGCTCTAAACTTAGTCAACAGGAAATACAGGTATTGGATCCCCTTCCCCCTCCTCTGCCCCCCCCACCGCCATTCATATTGTTACAAATGGAACCCAAGCTGACCCCTAGAATTAATTCCCTAAGCTCTCCTTAAATTCTTTGTTTAATCAAGCTTTTAGGTCTTCTGGCCTAGTATATATGTTTGCTAGCTAACAATATTCCTCTGAAATGACTGGGCATTACATTGCTTTTTTAAATATAAGTTGCTGCTGGTTTCATATCTGATCCTACAATGTGCAGAATTGAAAGTGGATCATTTGCTTGCACCACCAAATAAGGTTCAGTTAGGAGATATTGACTTCAGTTATTAAGTCAACTTCTTTGCAAGTTGATTGATTCCCAAGATAATGTGAATGCAAAGGAGTTGATGGTAGCTCAGAATCAGTGGCTTTTTGGAAGCATCAGAATGTGGATATAACTGCCATGCAATGCATCTAAAGTTAGCATGATCCAATCAGGCCAAAATGTTGCTTTGATCAGTTATTAATCCAAAAGCCTATCTAGAGCATACAATAGCACAATGCTGGAGAAGCTCAGTCTGGAAGCATCTGTGGAAAAAGAAACAACATTAATGTTTCAAATCCAACGATCCAACTTTTTAATCTGAGGAGTGTTTAGACTCTACATTCACTGTGTTCCCCTCTCCAGAGATACGGTAAGGTTAAGAGGAAGCCTAAGATGCAGAATTTATTGGTTAAGACCTTAATGCTTTTTGCGTTTTGTACAGAAATTGAGTTGTTGCTATTATTTCTATGTGGTAATAACTCAGGGTTATAACTTTATATGTGCAATAATATTACACGGGATATCTTGTTATTCCTAGGCATGTATAGAATATATTTTTTGAAAATGTGACACCTCGTCTTGTTCTTCCACATAATATTTCATTAAACCTGCCACATCATGTCTCATTTTCACAAAGATGTAATACCATCTTTTATTTCCATCAATAAATCACATCACCCTTTGCTTGAAGATAATGCTTGAGTTTGGCTTAGTAACGAAGTAAAATTAAACCCAATGTCCTTCCTGTTTAGCCTTTTAAGTATTGTGTGCTCATTGAAGCTTTACAATTTTAGCCTCCTTAGTTCAATTTTTAATGTTTGAAATGATGATCTGTATATTTCTGATATGAAATACTGATGAGACAATCTGAAGGAGCTATAAAACATTTATGGTAGCAGAGTTTATTAGAGGTTAGATCCAAAGCCCTGCTGCCCTTATCCTTAACATACTAATTCACCCACCACCTTAGGCATGTTGCTTTGGATTACAAAGGATACATGGTGCAGTAACAGGACAATGGGTACAACCAGTGTGTAATGCCAATGCTCCATTCCAGTCTCCTCCTGTCTTTCATCTAAAAGTATCATTGTACCCATATATCCTCTTCTCCTTCAAATGTCTGGTTAGCTTCCCATTAAATGTATCTTTTTCTTCTTTGGGGTTACATGTTCCATATTCTTGCCCCTTGTTTTACTTTATCCTATGAGAAGAAACATTTTATATCCTCTACCAAAGCATTTCATAATTAAAAGATTTCTATTTCACCATTCTTCACATTGATTCCCAATCTGCCAACTCATAAAATTTCCAATCTTGTTTTCAAACATCAACATGGCCTTGCCTGCAAGTCCTCTGCACTTTTCCAATTCTGGCCTCTCATGGTTCCCCCATTTTACTAAGTCCACGACTGGTGAGCATGTCTTCAACTGTTTGAGCCTGAGCTTCTCCATGTCTCTTTCAAATGCCACAAGAAACTCAGTGTCAGACTTTGTGTGCTAATTCTCCTGTGAAGCACCTTGAGACCATCTCACTATGTTGAAGGTGTTAAATAAAAGGAAGTTATTATGGGAAGAAATAACCCTCACTGGTAATCACTTTGAACAAATTGCCTCAAAACTATCAGATTCTCATGCCATTTTGTGAAAATATATTTGTAAGGAGATTTTTTTAAAAAACATCTTGGGACCTCTTGCAGTACAATGAATATACCCTGTAAGACTTTTTAAAAGCTCATCAAAAAGGTAGAGTCGAATTCTTGGTGGTGGAACAAAAGTTCAAAGTCTGAGGAGTTTTGGCTCAGTGGATGAATTTACATCATAATGTGGTACTCTGCCACAGGGATCCTGAAGTTCCCAGTTAAGCTTCAGTGCTCATGGGTTAGAAATGGTAAAAAAAACAGTGTTGGCATTCCTTAATAGCATTCCAGTAATCGCTCCTGGAAGTGCATGTGCAAGCCAGATGAGGACAGGGACAACCTGCAAACACTCACACAATCCAGACTCTCACGTGTAAAATGTATCAGAAGATTCTTGTTGTCATAGAACTACACCACAGCATGAATCATCACATAATGAAGAGGAAAATTATTGGATAAGGAATAAAAACCTATGTTGTACGACAAATATTTTCTCAGGTTAAAAGGTACACATCTGTCTTTAATTCAATTCTGTTTGAAAAAAAGTACCTCTATAAATAAGAGAGCTACATAAATCCCAAGAAGGGTTCAAGTCACACCCTAAGTCAAGATTTGTGTATTGTATTTCTAGCTGTTTTAGTTCTGTATTATGTTTTGAACTAAAATGAATTATTCTTGGGTGGAAGGATAAATGGGTATTTTTCTGGCTGGCAAGAGGTAACTATGGGGTGCCACAGGATTCAGTCCTTGGGGTATAACTATTGTTGTAAGAAATAAGAAAGCTACGTTAAGTGATTGGACCAAACTTTGGCAGGTGAAGTTTATCGTGGATAAGTGTGAGGTTATCCATTTTGGTTAGAAGAATAGAAAGGCAATTCTTCTCTAAATGGAGAAAAACTTCAAAGTGCTTTGGTGCAAAGGGATCTCGGTGTCCTCATGTTTGAATTGTGGAAAATTAGTATGCAGGTATGGCAGCTAATAAAGAAGGCAAATTGAATTTTTGCACTTATTGCTGAAAGAATAGGGTATAAAATAGGGAAGTATTGCTGTAAAAGCATCAGTGAGACTGTACCTGGAATTTTGCGTACAGATTTGGTCCCTGACTTGAGGAAGGATGTAGTTGCATTGGAGCCACTTCAAACAAGGCTCACTAGATTGATTCCAGAGGTGAGGGATTGATTTATTAAGACAGATTGAGAGTTTAGAAGTAAAGGGGATAGAGACATGGTCATCTTAAAACTATGCCCTCTAGATTTGGACTCCCCCACTCGGGGGAAAAGAGCAGGGCAATTCACCCTATCCATGCCCATCATGATTTTATAAACCTCTGTAAGGTCACCCCTCAGTCTCCAAAGTTCCAGGGAAAAAAGCCCCAGTCTATTCAGCTTCTCCTTGTAGCTCAAACCTTCCAACCCCAGCAACATCTTTGTAAATCTTTTCTGAACCCTGTTTCCTCTTCTGGGGCAATCTAGAATGAGATGGCCTAGTTTTAGAATAAGGGGTACCAAATTTCAAACAAAGGTGAGGAAAAATTACTTCTCTCAGATGGTTATGAATTTGTTGAATTCACCATCCCAAAGTGTGGTGGATGCTGGGACACTGAATACATTTGAGGAGCAGATAGAGAGATTTTTAATGAGTAGCAGGTGAAAGGGAGCAGGCAGGAGAGTAAATTGAGGCCGAGTTGAGATAAGCCATGATTAAAAGGTGATGTAGGGGTCGAGGGGCTGAATTTCCAATTCCTGTTCGTAGTTCATGTGTTCTTATGAGAGATATGAAATGCTCAAGAAGGAGATAACAATTTTGATTAAGAAAAATATTACAATACTAGAAAGAATGAATGTCCTTGATGCATCTAAAGCAGAATCTATTTGTTGGAATTAAGAAACAATAAAGGAGCTCTTTTGCCACTGCTGCATTTGATAAGTTTCAAATAATAGGGAGAAGACAGGAGCAAATTTATTGGGAGGTGCAATGACTACAGATGATTGTTAATAGGAAATAATAGTAATTCTGGTATTAAATGGGACAGTGATCATGTTAAAGAGAGGAAAAGAAACAGGAATTT